GTGCTATCAATAAATGTGTCAAAATCATTTCATGAGACGAGATAAAAAAAATATATTTTAGTCCATCTTTATGGGCAACAGTGTATTATGACTAATTGCATTTCCTGTTTTGGATATCTGCAGTTTGGGCTGCAAGGTGCTCAGTGGTTAGCACCGTTGCCTCGCAGCAAGAAGGTCGCCAGTTCGTGTCCCAGTGAGGACACCCGGGATCTTTCTGTGTGGAGTTTGCATGTTCTCCCCATGCAGCGTGAGTTCTCTCCGGGTTCTTCAGCTTCCTCAAACACTCCCAAAACATGTTGAGGTTAATTGGTGATCCTAAATTGTCCTTAGGCTCCCCCGTGACCCCAGTAAGGATTAAGCGGTGTATAGATAATGGATGGATGGATGGATATCTGCAGTTTAACTCCAATTAGTCCTGATTTGGATTTGAGATATCGACATTGTCCTTTTTTTTTTTTTTTTAAAAAGAGATCTTAAATTAAGTTTTAATTTATCCATAACTAATCGTAATGTCAAATTCAGACTCTAAAGACTGAAAATCAAATCCAAGATGTCTTCAATTAAGAGTTTTGACTGGGAAAAATGACATTGCAGATGTAGTTAAGTCAGAAGCTACAGCATGTGGGAGTCAGAGGTCACGTGCTTTTTAAAAACACTGTGGCACTGCAACTGTAACTGGATATAGCAACAGTTTACCACCATGTCAGAGCAGACTGAGGCCCAAAGTCTAGTAAATTTCAAATAACTACAATGACGTGAGATTTTTACAACCATTTTTTTAACTAGTCAGGACTGAATTACAGATATCTGTGACTGGCGTTGTGACTGATGTTCTAGATAAACTCTGACTAGTCACAGCGTAAATACAACTAGTCAAGATGACTGTTTTTGATCTCTCACTAGACAAACTCATTCAATGTTAAAATGGCTCGCCACCTATTCATAGCACTAACCAGCCAAGTCACACATACATCTACAGCATGCACAGAGAGGAAAACATGTCCCCATCTGCACTGCTGCAAACAAACTCAACTTTTTTCCCCAAAGTACTCAAATGAGTTTGTAATATGCACATTTCTGTTCATCCAGTATAGCTGCCAGGTAGCTCAGTAACATATAGAGGCTGAGTGTCTGTGTGTGATGAGGCAGTGTGTACCAGTGTAGACTTGGTACAAGCCACAGATTTGTTCATTCGTTTTTTTTTTTTTCTGGAACTACACTAATGAAAACTGCTGCCATTAAACATGCATGTGCACGAAGCTGGCTTTAAAATGTGAAAAAATGGTTGTGCAAATTTTTCATGAGGAAGGAAATTCATCCACAGGGCACCTTTAACTGTTTCGTACTGACAGGAACTGATGTACCGATTCATCCCAAACAAACTGGGACTTTCAAACCTCAGCACTAATTAAACTTCACATGTACACATAAAAATAGAGTCCATTGTAGTTCTATTGTTTTTCTGCAGCGTTCACAAAAGCACTTCACCGCCGTCCATGATTGGTTAGAAGAATTTACAGCTGTCTCTTCATTTCCTTTGTGCATTCATGCTGACTTTTACAGTATATTATCTTTTTGTCGCTTTTCCACTGTGAACTCACTGGCAGTAGTTTGGAACTGGGACACAGCTACTGTCTGAGGGAAACATTTTATCTATAAAAACTCTACTAATACAAAGTTGACAATGAGTGGGAGATATTTCCATTTATTTAACATCATATTTTAGCATTTTTTCCCCCTGCACTGCTGTGTATAAAATAGTAAAATATAAAAGTCTTAAAAGAAAGTCAAGGATGAACTTTCATTGGAGGCTTTTGTGATTTTTTTTTCAACACGAAACCTTTCATCAAAAAATAAAAAAAGGAAAAATGCGAAACATTTAAAAAGCTTGCTGTTCAAACTCCCCTCTCTCAATAAAAAGGATTAAAAACGTAGTTTCGCCCTGAACTAGAATATTTGCCCAGACATTCAGCGCAGATTTAATCAGACACTGTTTTAACTCTGACTTCAGTGTTGTTTACACGCAAATACACGTCTCTCTTCTGTTTTAGACAACAGCTTAAGGGTGGATTTAACTTTCAATAGGTACTTCAGAAAACTAACATCAAAACCAGCTCTCTCTATGAACTCTTAAAGCACTTCATCTTGGATTAATCTTTATATAGTGCATGATTTACCGATAAAATATCTCATTTTATGCAGTGATATAGACAAAACTCACATCCACCATGTTCCTGAGATATCCTCTATGTGGTGACAGTGCTCAAACCAAGACACGTCACAATATAAATACAAGACGTGTCGCAGATCAATGATGCCTTCATTGTTTTTTTTTCCACAAACACTGACATGGTAACATGTGAAATGTCTCTGAAAGCTCACATCTAACTTGGTAAATAGAAAGACAAAAAAAAAAAAAAACATGAAGCAAAGAATAGACACGTCACACTTAGCTACAGATGTTACATAACGCATTAGGATGCCTGTCTGTGCTGATAGCTTTCATTTCTTCTTGAAGACATTTTTTTAGGTGGCATTCAATATGAGCTTTTAGGCACACTAGTCGTCTCACTCTTTATTAAACCCCCGAGCCAGTGCTGAAACTGTTTTTCCAGAGGCATCTATTTACAACGAATTATGCCTGTGAACCACTGACACGCTCCCAGTTGATCTCAATACTTCCTGATAAAATGTTCAATAAGCTGCCGTTGCCAGGCAACAAATGCAATTGCGGCCGCGCCGTCGGAGCAGAGTTTTGACGGAAAAAGTGGAAACTGAAATGTTTGGAGGTTTAAAAACAGCCGCAATGTCACAACGTTCACAAATAAAAGACTTTGGGGCGTCCCAGCAGTGGCGAGCAGTGGTGCGAGGCAAACACAAACAGCGTTTTGTGGGACGCGTCACAGCCGTGCAGCAGTAAAATGTGTTGAAAGCAAACAACTAAACACTGTCACTTCTGTCATTGTGAGCCGGGCTCGCAGCGGATGACAAATAAAATCATAACATCCAATCAGAGCTACTGACTGGTAATCCTTGGGATGGGGTTGCACACGCATGACCAGAGGTCTGGGCTGAAGGCAGAGTGAGCCCACTGTTGTTTCACAGCTGGTAATCCGCTCAGCGCCGAGATAAAAGAGATCTCCCAGAGCTTCTCCACCAGTGTGACAGAGATCAGGCCTTCTAGATATCATACTTTGTGAAGACTAGTGAGTCAAACATCACATTAAGTACTAAAACATGATAAACAAGCAGCCAATTTCCTTCTTGACCCAACGCATTTACTATCTTTTCTTGTTAGACACGTCAGAAATCAATCCTGCAGATGTGTGTCGCCCGGCACTGAAAAGGTTGCTGTCCACAGATGAGAACACGGATAGGTCACTTGATGTCATTTCATCTGCAAGCTGACACAACAATATTAATCAGAGATGTCAATCGGGAAATGAGACTGTCAAAACAGACTCTGACAACAATGACATGTCCGGCAGCCAATGAATTAAAAAAATGAATGAGTACAAAAGGGCCCTGCCTGGCTGCCTGCTGTAGAGTGACGATTGCCATCTGGACGGCAGCCATACAGCGTAGACAGAAATGAGATTTGTTCCATGCGTGGACAGAACACGAGCATTAGCTTTCTGGTTGCTTCATGCATTGTATTAATGCTTGACTGGCAGTCAGCTTTAGAATTCGCAGCCAAATCATAAGAACATTGGATGACAACACCTTTTCTGTCTTTAGAGATTATCTGGCCAATGCATTGCATTCACAACAGGTGCTTCTCAATAGCTGATAATGACTCAATACCTGCAGTCTGTTAAGCCGATTTTTTCCTCTATACCTTCAAAGCATGTGGTTGCTTTGCTTCCTCGCCTGGACCAGACACTGCTGTGGTTTAATATTTCTTTATCTCATTCTCTTGCTATTTTCTGATCTGTAATTGCCTTTACTCAGAGGGCATTTGTGCTGATTGTAAAACATCATCCATTAAGAGTTCTCTCTGAATTAAGTACTTTAAGTAGGCCAGGCCTTGCTAGCTGTCTGCGTGGAAGAGTTTATCTTTTCATGGCCGCATGGAAAGTACAAAAAATAGAACTGTGAAACCTATTTTTCCTTTTTTTTTTTTTTTGTCTGCAGTCAGCAGCACTTCAAAGTTTGTTCCAGTGATGAGTCAGTCGAGGGAGATAATCATTGAGAAGTCACAAATACTCCAGTGACATTGACTGTTGGCAAAAGTGAAAGCAAGTGAGCAAACAGGAAATAAACATCCCATATCTTAATATGTACACACTCTTCAATATGAAGATAGATTCAGAAAAGTCTCGTTTGAAATTGTTGACTCCTGTCTGGATTCAAATGGTGGCAATTTTCCCCCGAAGCACTGAAGCTTTCTCAGCACAGCACGCTGCAGATAACAAGGACTGCAGGTCTCGTTTCCAGGAACACAGTTTTAAAGACCTTTTGTCAGGCTTTTGGTCCAGTTTTTACATAAACGTCTGCTCAGCCTGTTTCTTCTTCACAGGAGTGTGTTTGTGTGATTTAACTTTACATAAAAAAAACACACCAGGTCTTCTTTCAGTCAGTCAACAAGGTAAAAAGGATGTGTAGATTTTAGTGATGGACATAGTCAGATATTTGTGAGTGGGACAGGGGGGGATTCGTGATTATAGCTCCTTAAGGTCAGACACTAGTTTTATATTTTCCACAGTGTCGCTATTTTTGTTTTCACTCTGTGTGACGCATCACACCTGTACACTGAGTTCCTTCCAGGAGACGTTTGGATGCAAAATGGCATGAGAGAAGTCGGTCCAGTATCCAGAACCTGGCCATGCAGACACATAAATGGCCACGATGATTGTTTAAAAACATGTAAAGTAGTAGAGATTTCCAAAAGCAGCAACCTTAAGTGTATGAGAGTAAAAGAGAAGTGTAAGATGAAAGCCTGTTTGTCCACAGACTGAACACGGGTCGAATATTTCGTACTGTATCGCTTCCCTGTGCGGCTACACAGACTCAGTAGGGGACTGGTCATCGACCTGGTGCCTCATTGACTGCACGCTCGTCAGGATTTTCTTCTGGTGTCCAGCAAGAGACACTCCAATCCTCTGCAGATCTCTGTGGGAAAAAAACAAAGAAAAAAATAACACAGAGACACAGATATCAGGTTGTGGCATCGTAGCAAAAAAAAAAAATCTCATATCCACATGGTTGTTATTGAGGCTGCTGTGTGTAGGAGTTTACACCAGTAAAACATTACTATGTTAATCATAACCAGCGCTTTAAATGGAACAGAGAAGGTTGGCAGGGCTGAATTAGCACAGCACGGCTCTGTTTTTGACTGGTTTGACTAAATAATGACAAGGTAATAGTCTGTGTTTAACTAAAGGGAACAACATATTCCACATAACTCTCTGCTTTCAAAATGTATTTTCATTTCTTATTTTAAGGTACTTTGTCTCTTGAGAAGAATTTGCTGTAAGAATTAAGACGTCTTTATACTTAAAAGACAAAATGCAATTAAATACGGTGTACATCAGCAAGTTTAGATCACTGATGCACAATTTCCGTTTAAGCACCATAAAAAATACATACCCACACAGTCCATGTAAGGTCACATCCATTGCTTTATACGAGGTGTGTCACAAAAGCTCCAGGAGCACAAAAGTGTTTGAAGTATTTCAAACCCAAACTACAAACTACGAGTTTTACCCTTCAAATGATCAACCAGCACATCTACAAAGAGATCCTGTGGCGTTTACTTTGTTCAGTGAGAAGAAGCAAGAGTTGTTGCAGGACAAGTCGTGGCTGCTTCACCATGACAACGCGCCTGTTCACAACGTCCTGAGCATCCGACAGTTCCTGGCTGAGAAGAACATCGCCGTGCTGGAGCAACCTCCCTACTCACCCCACCTGACTCCGTGGGATTTTTTCCTCTTCCCCAAGCTCAAGGGGGTCATCAAGGGGACACGTTTTGAAGACGTGGATGACATCAAGATGGCTGTGACGACGGAGCTGCGGAGGATCCTGGAAGAATCCTTCCAGGAGTGAATGGCAGCATGATAGAGAAGGCTGGGGAAGTATGTTAAGACTCCAGGGGGATTACTTTGAGGGGGAAAACCTGCAGTTTGTGGTTTGGATTTGAAATATATCTTTTGTGACACCAGTCCTGAAACTTTTCTGACACACCTCGTACGCTGCAATGTTAAATGGGCAGACATTTTAAAATGAAAGAGAACAAACAATAAACAATATCAAGATGCAAGAAAAGTGACTTCAGATTGGTTTTCCATCAATTTTTTTCCTGCGTTCATTTATTTCCTGCATGAAAAGTTTTTATACACCTTTTTTGCCTTCTTCAAACTGCGACTGTGTTAAAACATAATTAATCCCTTCGGTGAAATGTAGCCCCTGCGTTTGACCCATTCTAACTATTTAAGGAGCCGAGGGCAGTCAAAGTGCAGCGTCCAGGGGACCAGCTCCATGTCTGATGCTCCTGCCTTCTGCAAAGCTAATAGCAGGAACCTCTGGTGAACTCTTCAGATTACGGAGGGCAGATCCAGCAGCTGTCAAGCAGAACTCAAGCACATATCCCAAACCTCTCTCTTTTTACTGCTATTGTTACCAGCTCATTAAGGCACGTGAAAAAATCATCACGCCATTCTAATAGCTAAAGTACATTTATTACTAAGTAAACAAAGCTAAAACTTGCAGTGTTTCTCACAGTGACAGATTGCTGTTTGTTTGACAGTGATGCATGGATGTTCTGTAACAACCCTTCGAGTGTTTTTTTTTTTTGTTGCCATGATGAATGGATGAAAATAGGAAGGAAGTGAGCCATATGGAGCGACAGACAAGTGTTCACATGAACCTCCAGTCAGCCAACCAGCTGCCCTGCCAGTCGTCCAACTAACAAGACGCCGACTTGGCAGCGCAAGCAGTGTGAGACGCAGGCAGAGAGAGAGGCAGACAGACAAAAATAGAGGCAGTGTAATGGGTAAACCTACTCGGCTGTGATTTGTGTGACGAGCGGCAAAGAGGTGAAGCCTGAGCCCAGGAAGGAGTCTCTGTACTGGGTCATCTTGAGTGCAGCCAGCCAGTCCTCCACTGAACTCACCCTGCTCAGGTCTGGAGCTCCACGGTCTAACAAGGGGTGATGGGAAGGACTGCAGAGAGCAGATACAGGGGAATAGGGAGTTAGAAAAAAAAAACAACTGTATTGCTGAAATAGAGGCATGAGACACGGAGAGTGTGTTTGTGTATGTAAATGAGTTTGTATCTCTGCTCACCCAGGGGGCAGGTTGTTGGTGCCGGCTTTGAGAGATGCAGGGTTGCGTATCATTTTATCCAACATGCTGACAATATCGGGGAACTTTGGCCGTGCATTCCTGTCTTTCTGCCAGCAGTCCAGCATGAGTTGGTGCAGCACTACTGGACAGTCCATGGGAGCTGGCAGCCTGAAATCCTGCTCTATGGCATTTATCACCTGGGCCACAGCAGAGGAGGGAAGCAGGGGAAGGGAGGGGGGATGAGAAAGTCAGAAACAAATAACCACAAGTGATTATACGTAGTGTGGAACCACTGATTTGTTGTATATATCCGTCTAACTGATTAAAGCTTGTATAATCAGTATGCTTATAATGAAGCTAATGCAAAAGTTCAAGAAGGCAGATCTGCTCCCTCATTATCTGTCCTTGTTCTTCTGTCAATGAATATGTAGCCAATCAGCCTCGGTTCTTTAAATACCATTACAGTTCTGTCATTCTGCCTTTTGCACCTACTATTGCTCTACTGCCATACAGGCAATCACAACCTCACAATCCTGGATGTCCAATGGGTCTTAAGGGAAGTCTTAATCACCCATCCCTCTCCCACCTTGACTTTGGACTACGCCCAATGAGGACGCTTTTGCCAAAACCTTTCTATTATTACCTTAATAAATGTGGTCATACATAGATCCATCCATCCATCCATTATCTATACACCGCTTAATCCTCACTAGAGTCGTGGGGGGCTGGAGTCTATCCCAGCTGACTTAGGGTGAAGGCAGGGGACACCCTGGACAGGTCACCAGTCTATCACAGGGCTACACTTAGAGACAAACAACCAAGCACACTCACATTCACACCTACGGACAATTTAGAATCACCAATTAACTTCAACATGTAGCTGTAGAACCTGGAGAGAACCCACGCTGCACGGGGAGAACATGCAAACTCCACACAGAAAGATTCCAGTGCTCCCGTCGGGACACGAACCTTCTTGCTGCGACGCAATGGTGCTAACCAACTGCACCACCTTGCAGCCCTCATACATAGATCTCTTCTTAAATAAAACAATAAGAATCTGTAAGAGCAGCAACTAAATCATGGAACTGCCTCAATGGTATTAATGAGGTTAACTTTTGTTGAAGTAACAACAAACAGTAGACCTTTTGAATTTTGAGAGATGGGGGTTTGTCTGCCCTCCACATCGTCAAGACAGCTTTTTTGATACAGCCGGCAACAGTGTGTTCAATACTTACCTCTAGTGATGAATCTTATGACAGTGGTATCTAAAGTTTTGAGGGCTTAACTGACTGCATGAAAGGCATAGAATGTGACAAATGTCTGTACACCTGTCATTACAGAATCAAATCTTTTATTATTTCAATACTTTTTTAAAGACAATATTATTCTTTCTCGCTGAGGAAGATACCAAATTCACGGAGAGATGTTTTGTCATTTTTTTGGACTACATTTTTCAGCTGCTGGAGGGTTTCTGTCTTTCTTTTTAAAATAGCACAAATGGATTCTATTGGATTCAAATCAGACAACATACTTGTCCAGGTCAACAAACCCTAACCCTTTTTTCTTCCTGAGAAATGCTTGTGTGGTTTTGGCAGTGTACTTTGGATCATTATCATGCTGGAATATTCCCTCTCTGCTAAGCTTCTGCAGACTGGGAGTCATCTTTGTCTGCCAGTGTTTTGATATATCCACAGACTTTCTTGTGACACCTTTTGCTCTCATGCTGTCCCATATTATCACACGTCCACGTCTGTGCTTCACTGTCAGGATGATGCATTCACTGTGGTACTCCTGCCCAACTTCACAACAAACATGTTGGCCTCCATCTGATCTCAACACATTCACCGTCTCATTATCCTCTCATTATCAGTCAGGCTTTTTTTCATGTTCTTAAGCAAAATCACATCTTGGAGTTTTGTTCTGAATAGCAAGCAAGGATATTTTCCCACGATGTCGTCCACATATGTTGACATTATCTACTGACCTTCACATGATGTGAGCTGCCGCAGAGACTCGTGTACTCCTGGGCTCAATCTAAAGCACTTGTCTGTCTGTTTTAGGAGGTAGGCAAGTAGTGTACACTGTCTGTGGTGTCAATTGAACAGGAAAGTCATTGTGGCTCTGGCGAGTAGCATAGAATAGAACAGAACAGAACAGAACAGAATAGAATATCTTTGATGTCATTGCGATTTGCAATTAAATTATTGTTCTGATTACTGCTGCAACGACTATTTTTTACTTGGTCATTGATCTTCTTATGTCTTTTTTCAATCTTTGTAAAGTCTCACAATGCAATTTTTGAATTCCTCTGGCAATTCTTATCTGTGTCGGGACAAGATGCAGACATGGAGATAGAAACAGGCCATACATCTAAAACTAAGAACTTTCTGGCATTTTTAAGTCATTACAGTTCAAACAATTATCCTGATCAAATCACAGGTGTACTCTATTTTGCTGCATTGAATATCTACTATCTGGGCTTTATTTTCTATTAAGTCTGTCTCAAGAATTTGTTCTCTATCGTTTACGGGATAAAATATCAACACAGAGATTATGTAGTTATTGAGAGATGTGCAATTTTGAATTATTTGACATATAAATAGTATTGCACCAGGGTGCATTTACTTCTGTGGTATACTTCATATATGAGAAATACCCTGAGTATTTCTGTGTGTCCTAAACAAGCCAGTTTTTCATAAATGCAATATGTAAATGGAAGAAGGGAGAAAATATTTTGAAAGAAATTGAATCTTGTGATATGACATCAGTAAATTGAACACAGCGTGGTGCTGGTCTGTGATGTTCAGGATATCAAAGGGCTGAAAGATCCAATACTGAGGCCAGCTCTCTCACTGCTGTTTAGGGGACACTTATATACTTATATTTTGCTCTAAAGTTTGATTTGTCCCTTCCTGCAGGCAGACCGATATTTGATTAGAAGAGAAGGGTCTTGTCTGTTACAGCTCCTTTGTGATTCCAGCTGATAAGACAGATGTATTTTTATGGAACAATCTTGCCTCGTTCTTTATTTAAAATCACATTTAAAAAAAATGAAAACTCACATTAGTTAAGAATATCCAATTTCCTTTTGAAAACTTTATCCTGACACAGTGTGCAGTCACAGTGTATATCCAGATATTCATCTCTAAGCAGCAGTAACGCTGCCGCAGCCTCTGATGTTGAGGCAGGTAGTTTTACACAGAGGAGCTTTTGATTTCATTATGCCAGTGCAGGTATAGAGAACGATAAAGACCTTTCAAGGTTTTTCAATGAAAACTTTTAGGCAGGAATTTTGTATTGCACAGAGGCTGTGCTAAATGTGCAGCGATACCTTTGAGTGCAGAACGTAATTATCCACGAGCATCACAGAACTCACAACTGTCAGTAACTAGCTGCCGTGCCACCCTGAAAAAATAATCAAAGAAAGGAAATCTCAACTTCAGTGATCATTACCTGAAATTATTCTGCCCCCTGTGCCAGGAACGCAAAAAATAATTTTTTAAATGTCTCCCAAACTCTAATTATGACGGCTGTAATTTTCCAAACTCCCATTGTGGTGTGCCCTGATGGCTCGAGAAGTGGCGTCTAACACGTTCTGCATTCGAGCAGCCGTCAGATATTATCTTTCTTGCAGACTTTTTTTTCACACATCAAGTATTCAATTACTATCATCTTTCTTGCCGCCTTCCACAATATTCTTCAGAGGTCTAATCGAAATGCAAGTAGATTAATATTATAAATAATCGTAAACTTTATCTTGATCACACATGAGAAATCCCTAACTGTACTAATGGAAACACACTCTTTAGAGCAAGAAAAAAAAAAAAAAGCAATTTAGATTTTGTCATGGCTTAGACAGGAAATAGTACGGGCTGTTTGTCACAACATCATTAATGTAAGCTAGAAAGACTTTGATAAGAGTCAGAGGGTCTGCAGCCTTGGAAATGTCCTCATGTTTTCTTCTAATGTAGGAAAATAAGCAAAATGACTCATGTTGATGAATGATGAGTACTATTTAAATGATCCATTTATATTTAAAGGAGTAGTTTCAGTTTTTTTGTGAATAAAGAACATTTGCTTTCTTGCCTGCAGCTACATGAGTTAAATGAGATGCAGACCATTCTGTAGCACTGACACAACACTGTGTGTAACGGTCTGACTGCACCTCGGTGTCGTTTTGCCATAAACGATAAAAAAAATGCCCAGACTTGTTTGTATTTCTTTAAATGAATCAAAATCATCTTCATTTGGGCTAAAAACTTCGTCTTCGTTTTGCTGTAACATATCCGTATGCAGGGAGGCGAGTGCTTCATGAAGGTTGCCCGGAGGTTGTAGCAGTGATTTGTCACAGTGAAGGGCATTTTCTTTTAATCATGTTGTAATTATTCTTCCACGTCAGCTGATATTGGACATGTTTTATGCTGCCCAGAGGCCAAGACAACAAAAAATGTGAAACAGCTGATCAGTCATGTGAGTTAATTGTTTGCAGCATCACAACTTATTGGGGAAAAAAGGTGCTTCCAGCTTCAATTATGTGAACTAAATGTGTATATATGTATTTTTTTTAAGGTCAAAGACCACCTCAAGCAAGTGTGGAAATGTTTTTGCAAAATTGTGGATTTCAACATTTTTTCTTGACATTATCACTCACTTTTTCTTACACAAACATGGCTAGTAGTGACTCCAGGAAACCATTGCACATGACCCATATATTGTAATTTTTAGTGTTAAAGGGTTAAATTTTTTTAAAAAACATGTGAGCTTAAGAAGCAACACTTGGTGGAATTTGAACTTAGGCAGGATAAAGAGATGTATTTCCACATTTTGGCTGATGTGTAAAATATTATCTTTTACCTTTAAAATTTAAAGAAAACATTCCTTTATATTTAGTGTTCATCCTACAAGGACGTCAACACTTTTTGTCCAGAGCCCAGAATCTCCAGAGACTCTATATTTCTATTCTCTAATTTTGATGCCACTTGTTAAACTGCTGGAGTGAAGATCCACTGTGCATGTGGAGGTAATTAGAATAAATACCATTCATTATTTTTATATTTTTCCGCCCCCTTTTTAAAAATTTTCGTCCACCAGTCACTGTCTCAACTGTCATCTCAGTCTCATTCATCAGTCATTCCCCCAGTTGTCCCCAGCGTGTTCCCACCGTTCTCCATCACCTGACCTCCACCTTCATCCAAACACCTGCTCCTCATTCCCTCAATTTTCCTCCCTCATTTATCTGAACTAAAGCCTCGGCACTGCCAGCTTTTCTATCGTTCATTCCAGCCAAAGTGGTCCAGTCTTTTCTCTTGTTATCCCGGCTGCCTCAGTTTATGACCTCTGCCTGTTTCTGGATTTTTGCCTGCCAGCTTCTGCCCCCTTCGGACTCCTCTGCCTCTCCTCGCTTTGATCAGTGACCTGGCAAACCACATTTTAACTCCACCTGTTCTGCCGGTGAGTCCAAACCTGACCTATTTGAGCAGTGTTTTGAATTTTGGTGCTGGTCTTAGCCTCTTGTTCCTTTAACAAAACATAAAATTCCATGAAATATTGCTCCGGTGTAATTTTTTTTTCCATAACTTCCTGTAAATTTAAAGTTACAAGTCCGTGTCAGTGTTCTTGTAAGCCTACCTCGCGGTAAGCTGAGGTAATGTGGTGCTTCTACTACTGTAAATGCAGCGCCGGGGATTTGTCTGCTCGCTGAGTGAACTCTAATTGACCCCGACACACTTCTCAGGCTTTGTGCCGCATAAATTCACTCTAAGCACCGCTGTCAATCAAAATAGCAGCGAGTGTAGTGAAACATCACAGGTCTCTTTCATGATTAATTCATGTCGAACACAGCACCTGCAGTGGCTCCGCTGACAATTTCACCGCTCCGTGTTCTTTGAAATCATGCGTGTGTGTGTGTGTGTGTGTGCCTTTACACATGTCTGCTCGCATGTGTGCGGTTTAGTTGTGTGTGTGTGTGTGTGTGTCAGTGGTACGTGTGAGTTTAGGGTGTGAGCTTCATGCATAGTTAATGCCCTCGCAGACCCTCGTTAGCTATACTGGTAACACACTTTCCCCATCATTATACACAGTCTGTGCTATTATAAATCTGTCTCTGTCATCATACTGACTCTGTCATTACTGCTGCATAGGCTGCCTCTGTTGCTTGGGAGCAACTGTTGGGGGGGGGGGGTGAGGTTGCAAGGGGAGGAGGGGAGGAGAGACAGCAGGGAGGAGGTAAGAGACAGAGAGGAAAGTGTGAAATAAGGGGAAGGAGATGGTTAAGGTGATGTAGATGACAGACAGGGAATCTGTAGACAAAAACGAGGGAGTGATGTAGTTTTGCTCCTCTTACCACTGGGCCGCTGATTAAGTCCTTGACACCAAAATAGCTGACCTCAGAGAGAAATCAACAAGGTCTACAGCAGGCTAAACATTGCTAGAGAGGAGTTGTGGCTTGAGAAATGTCCTCTACAGGGAAAAATGAGACTAGGCGACTCTAACAATTATCAAAGAGAGTTTAGAAAGATATTTTCTTGGTAATAAACTCAACGGAAGCTGGCCAGTGGTGCTTTGGAAGGTTTTCTACACCAACAAACTGTATTTTAAAGTTTTTACTCAAGATAAACTGGAGGCTTGTGAAAAGTCCCAGGCTCCGCTGTGTCAAAGCTGTGAGATATATAGTTTCAGAAAGCAAGAATCAGGATTTAGAGCCTTAGAGCTTTGAAGTAGGTTTTAGTGCCAAAAGTAACTATAATCTGTGTATCACGTTTCTTCTCGGAATAGAAACCTAAAAATAAAAATGTCAGCAATCCAATCTTGTGGAACCTCCTTTTTCGTGTACTGTACCTGATCCCCTTTGGGTTTCAACAGTTACATTGAATCCTCAGCCTAAATACAGGATGAGGGTTTGATTTACTGAAATATAGAAACAGCAGAGAATTGTGTATTACTTGTTTCGCTGATTACTGTGTCGCCTAAAAAAACCTAGCAGGATGAACGTAACCCTCAAAGCATCAAAACATCAATGTGATACGAGCACAAACGAAAAAAAAATCAGGTATAGAAACGCTGCCGCAAATTGATCATACGGTGGAGGTAATTGGAATAAAGTTGTCAGAACAACAAAACACTCCCTGAAGAAAAATATCAGCTAGAAAACACAATCCCCCACTAATACCTTCTGGTCTGACGTTCAGGGAACAAACACTTATGTGACACTTAAATTGATGTCCTCATTTTCCGTGTGTTTTCCTAGACATGCAGACACCCTGCTGAGAGAGACGGCAAAGGAAACAAACAAGCACAACCCCCTGTAACAAACACACACACACATGCAGACACACACCCACACACCAGAAAGACAATCTTTTACAGTCACAGACATCAGTGGGAACAAAACAAGACACAGATTCTTTCACACACACACAGGCAGCTGGTGACTTACATCTTGGTTGCTCATGTCCCAGTAAGGTCTCTCTCCGTATGACATCACCTCCCAGGTGACGATCCCATAACTCCAGACATCTGAAGCTGACGTGAATTTCCTGTAGGCGATCGCCTCCGGTGCCGTCCACCGCACTGGGATTTTACCTCCCTGAGAGAAAGAAGGAAAAAAGTGCAGAAGAGAAGGAAAGATAAAGGATGGAAATAAGGGAGGGAAGAGGAAAAAAAGGATTTCTTGATTTATACCTGTTAGTTCTACTTGCATATTCATCACAATGTACAAAACAGAGGCCATAGGCAGCCCATATATCACAGCGTGACATCAACATAAAGGTGAGGACTGAATATTAATTTAATGGTCATCACAGCGTCGTATTTATCAGACATGACAACCGTGTGGATTTTATACATTACGAACACGTGTATTCATGTCACAAAGATGATGAACTTGAAGGGATCAGGCTACTGTAGGTCTGGATTTTTCTCCTATTTTTGCGAGTTGAAAAAAAAGAACACCTGCTCGACACACATGAATCCACATCTGTCTGCTGTTGTCTCTTCTAATGAAGACAAAGTAGTGAGTAAACAAAAGCTTCTTTCCTCTGAATGCTGTCAGAAATCCAAGATGAGGGTATGTATTACCACATGTTTGTTTCACTGATGGATAAAAAAAAAAAGCAAGCAATTATTTAAGATAGTCAAAGAATCCCTGGAAACAGATGAGCTTTTAGCTCGGCACCCAACGTGACTTTACACCATCAGGTAGTCCAACATTTTAGTGAAATACCGTCACAAAAACTGGATTTTATGTCAATTCAAATTTGAACTGATATTTTTTTCTAACAGGATGAATCTTAATGTGGTTGTCTAAATGTCCATGTGGCACCATCATGAGTTCAAAATGTCACTTAAATTTATGACTGGATATAAGGTAAACTCAGCCATTCTAATCTAATTTTTGTCCAATTAAGCTCATACTACATCACAGTCTGCCAGCTCTACCCTGTAAAAAATCTGGTGTTCGTATACGTCCCTGGATCTGTAAATGTGAAACAAATAAAAGGGCTTGTATCCATGCTTGTGTACAGGACAGGTAATCAGAAAGATGGAGGAGAGAAAAAGGGAAAGGTAAGGTAAATATCCACAATCTTCCTTTAGAATCACTTACTCCTCCTCTAAACCGATCACTTCATTTTCTTCAGTTTCAGGGTTCAGACCCATTAAACAGGATGTGAGTAAAAGGACCACTCAGCTCATTTTCTATTGGCACATGGCAGAATAAACTCTAAAAGCATTGTGGGAAAGCAGGAAAGGCAGGATAGACCACTGATGTCAAAGGAGAAATGGATTAAAAGAAACGCTGCACTTTGCATATAAACTGTAAAAAAAAAAATAAAAAATAAAAATAAACATATGTGGCTGCAAAGAATTTTCGTTACCTTACTATCTTGGAGCATGAACACAAATGCAGCAACAAGTGAGAAGTTGCAGAGACAATGCTGCATAAGTAGGTTGCTTCTAGTAGCACAAGCTGAGAACATTTTGAAGTTTTAGCACTTAGCCCAAAGTTCAATGCATGCATTATCTCTGGCATCACCTTCTGACCAAACCTGAGTTTAGTCTTGAATAGTTAAAGTCCGTCTTTGTTAAACTCCCTCCAGTGAAAATCCGAATTTGTTACCTTGGTGACATGTTCATGTACATATCGTAAGTGAAATAAGCAGTAAATGTAACCACCCTATCAGACTGTGTTTGCGCTGGGCAGTTTCCAGGTGTGTCAATGTGATGAAGGTGTGAGTTTCGACGAAACTATCGCTGAAGGTTAAGAAAACCATTTGGGTAATTGTTTTTGTGAGTCCAGCTGAGAGCAACCCGACAAAAAACAGGATGAGACCGTTTGAAACTTCCAGGAGCAGGCTATGACAGCACGCTTTTTGCCCAATTCGAATGTTGTACAAGAAGCAACCTCCAGTCCTAAAAAAATGTCAAAAGTTCAAGCAAAAGTGACACTGCAGTTCCTCGAATGGCCACTTGAGGCTGGCTCCAAAAGTGAGTCACTCTCTATAGACTCATATGATAAAATGTCCAACTTTACAGCAGAAATAAATATGCTGACAGCATTGTATGAAAACAGGTTTGGTCTCTATCTGGTACAACCCTCTGACCAAACAGTTCAGTCTTTAACTAAAGTCAGTCTTTGTTAAACCCCCTCCAGTGAAGACCAAAATTTGTTGCTTTGGTGACATGCTCATGTACATATCGTAAGTGAAACAAGCAGTAAATTCTGATGCTAACGATTCAGATGCTAACTGCAGTAAAAAACAAACAGAGAATCAGAGTTTCATGCACAATAAACCTGTGGCACCACGCCCTTCAACTAGCAGGGTGGGACTTTACATGGCCTTATTATTCCTCAGAATCAGTTTCTAGTTCTAACCTTTATGGACAAATTGCTAAAACAACTTGCGATTGTATCAGGCAGAGTAGTTTTACAGTGTCTGAGCAGAGCTGTTGGTAAGCTGATGGCAGTGGTGTGTCGAGAAAGACAGGGTGCTTCATAGATCTGTGCATTCTGTCTTGGTTCCAGAGCTCTATGTACATTTGCAAGTCAACTGGATGGTAATTCATTATCATGGAAACCTCAGTGATCTCTGATGTGTTTGCAGAACTCCTTCCTATTCTTCTGGTCGACTATGTTGACAGTCAGATTGTGTAATAAAGCTGATAAAATGAGCCTTTCCTCCCTCCATGGCTGTGATGCAGTTTGTATCCAACCATAAAGAAATGCTTTTCCTTGCATTAAACACCACATTGGATAATCCATATATTTTTGGAATGACGGGTAACAAACAAAGCTGTGTGGAAATGAGGCATTCTGGAGGAAACAACGGTGCAGAATGTCATCTAAGCCATTTTAAGGCATGCATAAAACTTCAATACAGAGGAATGACTTTTCAGGAGTTAAATAAACACCTGAAGGGACTTTAAGGTCCCACATGGGCTGTTTTCAGTATAACAGCAAGACAGATAAACGCATTAGAAAGAGTGGCAACGACACATTATAAAACCCAAATCTGAGTGGATAATGGAAAGGAAACAGAATTCCCTCAAACTTTGGACTGCCCAGGGAACAAATGAGGATTTATAACCATTACTTCCATTCTATGATTGATCTTAAACTTGTGAAAAAGTTGAAGATTAGTACAGCCATGAATTCTTCATCCATCCAAGAATTTCATTTTTTATGATGCGTGGTAAACACCAGCATGCCTATAGACTTAAAATGTTCTTTTTATAAATGTCAGTGGAACAGTGAAGCCTCGTGGTTGTTAAAACTACCACTTCAAAAAATATTTTGCTATCTTTAGGCCGCAGTGTGAATGACGGATTTGTTTGTCTCCTGGAGCTTATGTTTGTGTGTCCTTACCAGTGAGCTGGTGTAGGTGGGATCAGAGGTGTCCTCCTCCAGATACCGGGATAAGCCGAAGTCAGACACCTTACACACCAAGTTACTGTTAACCAAGATGTTTCGAGCTGCCAGGTCCCGGTGAACATAACTCATCTCCGCCAGGTACCTGTAACATCAACAGGATTTATTGTGTGAATATGTGTTATCTGTTGCCAGCTACCTTGGCTACTATAAAAAAGGTAATGGGATTTAGGGAGTGTGTGTGTGGCTGTGTGTATGTGTGTGTTATCGCTGCCAGCTACCTTCGATAAAATAGGAATGGGATTTAATGTTTGTGTATATGTGCATGTTTTTTGTGTTATCACAGACTGCAATAAAACAGATAGGATCAGTGTGTGTGAGTGTGTGTGTGCGTTTGAGCACTGTTTCAATCTGCCAAGCCTACAAGTTGTGGTGCTGTTAACTTGAATAAATGCCTCGGATTAATATACAGCATGTCGTAGAGGTTGTGTTTGTTCTTGTGTGTTTGTATGAGCGCGAGAAAGAGAGTTTGCAGGCTATAGAGGCAGCATATCTCGAGCTGCTGATGCACATGACCAGACAGTATTGGATATCACCACATGAAATCTCTGTGTGAAAGAACTGATACTGTCACAAAGAAATTGAACTTCTCATAACAGTCATTGAAAGATCTGAAAAAGTTTCTTCTTCATCTTTATATAAAAGAAAAAATGTTAAAAAGACTTCTGTGGTGAAAGCATGTGTGGATGCGTTTGGTGTGTCTCTACCTCATTCCAGATGCGATGCCCCTCAGCATACCAACCAGCTGGATCACTGGGAACTGTCCATCGTTTTGCTGCAAAACCAAGAATGGTGACATGATTATATTTATTTTCTATTATCAGATGTTTTCACTTTACTTATTTAGAAAAAGGTGAGAAGACGTGTCGGTACTTTGCATTAAATGATAAAATACCACATTTTGCACGACACTACTGGGTAAACAAACTTACTCTGATCACTTATGCTGTTGTTGTCGTCATGTTTTAACGCCAGCTTTGCAATTATAAAGATTCAGTTCTTCAATTTCGCTCCTTTACCCACATTGCATTAGTCTTATGAAAGGTGTAAGGAGTTAATGTGTTTGTTGATTTTTCTAACAGCATCTGAAATACCTTCTATCAAACCTTTTTGTTGTCAGAATTAGAGAGCTGTATCCGACAATTTAAGTCATTTTTTCATACACAGATAAAACTCGGCCTAAAGGTTGGAGAAGTGAGTGTGTGACTGGAAAGATAAAATCAGGCTGCGAAGGTCAAAAAGCATCCCATGACCCTCACGTATAAATGGCACTCTGATGTTTAACCCCAACTGCTCCAGTGGATCTGCTCAGTAGCCACCAGGTCAGACTGTGATTGCGCTGGGTAGTTTCCAGGTGTGTCAATATGATGAAGGTGTTATTCTCAATGAAACTATCCCTGAAGGTTAAGAAAACCATTTGGGTTTGGTGTCCAGCCGAGAGCAATCAAAAAAAAAAAAAATAGATGAGACTGTCTGAAACTTCCAGGAACAGGCTATGACAGCAGGCTTTTAGCCCAATTTGAATGTAGAAGCAACCTCCAGTGCAAAAAAATGTTGAACGTTAGACACTGCAGTTCCTCGAATGGCCACTTGAGGCTGGCTCCAAAAGTGACTCACTCTTTATAGACTCATGATAAAAAGCCCAACTTTACAGCAGAAATAAACGTGTTTACAGCAGTGTATGAAAACAGGTCTGGTCTCTATAGGTAATTTCCCTGTTTATGAAAACTGCACAGGGGATGAATTTTTTACAAGACTTGCCCATTTAAGTTTTATGGTTATGCATAATAAGGGTGTGGCTGCCTTAGGAGACAGGTGGGTGGTATCACAGAATAGACCAAGGCCCAGAAATGTTTGCATGGTCCGCCTCATCTCCACCTCTTCAATCATTTTTGGATTAGCCAGGAGTTACTTTCTTAGACACTGGCAAGCTATCGAGAGCTTTAATACTGCTGTTCTGGAGACCTATGGGTGATGTTGTAGAGTATTTTTCTGTCTTTATTTACAGTCTATGATGTGGACATGTGGATACAGGGGATTTTGTTTTATATAATTGGACAAAAAATCCATATTAACCTTCCAGCAGTCTGCAATTCAAGTGGTCTGAGAGAAAGCTGGCCTTCCGCACCTTCTCTTCATGTTAAGGCTTTAGAAATCTATCCCGTGATGGAAGATCCAAACCAATCACAACACGAGCAGGTGAGATCGTATAAAGAGCAACAAAGTGCACATAGAAAGCAAGACACGGTGGTGATGTGTGTGTTTTCTGCCCACTGCAGCTTTGAACCACTCGGAGACTTTAGAAAGTTCGTATTTTGAGTTGCTGGAGGCTTGTTGTTTTTATGAGGCATTTTTGATGAAACCTAGAATATTTGCCTTTTTTTTGCTGTTTTACCCTTTCACCTTTGGGCCAGACTGTCTCTATCTCTGAAAACATCACTGACATCCCCTGCTGATACAGTTGCAGTCGTAGGTGTGTGTGTGTGTGTGTGTGTCTTTTAATTCACTTTGCGCATCAAACCGCACCTTTGATGCTCCACTAGCCTAATCCTCTACAGGCAAAAACCTTCTTCTAGGTACAAACAAACACACACATGCTGCATTGATCCTCTGGGTCTTGAGCCTGCAAGATGGTCACGCTAGGACAGCAACACCAGCAAGATCGATCATTGTGTTTGTGACTGTGTGTGAGTGTGTGTGTGTGCGTGCATGAGTCAACGGATGATTTCTGAGTCAAAAGAGGTCACGCTGTGAGAACCAAACATCAAAGAGTTTCTCTTTCTGTTTTTAGAGGCGCCTCAAAAGGAGGGCAGGATCAAAGAGACGGGCAGACTGACAGACAGACAGACTGGCAGGATGAGGAGGAAAGAGCACAGGAAGGAAAGGAGAGGAGAAGAGGAAGAGCAGAAGGTTGTCTTTGAGTCTCTTTCTCCAAAAACTCCCAGTCCTGCTCTCTTCAACAGTTTGGCTATTTATGTGCTTGAACCACAGTGTGTGTGATTTTCTAAAGTTAAAGGCCAGTTCATAGTTTCCACATCCCCCTTTTGCTGACTGATGCAGACTTTGAACACAGACAGTGGATGTGGCTCTGTCTTCTACAATATAATCTGCAACACAAACAGCTGCTTTGCCCCTCATGTTGGACACAAAAAAGCACACAGGGCCCCCGTGGATGTTTCTGACTTTGCACTTTTTACAGGAGTTACAGATTGAGCTTTAACACTGTGTTTACACCAGAGGTTTGTCAGGCACGGTGGGCAGACATGGCATTTCTGGAGAATTTAGGACTTCCATCTGTGTTTGAGCACCATCGATGGAGAGCATGTACAAATCAAGGAACCCTTTGTTTCCAGGCATATGTGCAGTCAGCGTGTTTTCAGTGTGTACTGTGTCACACATTTTGGGTTGGGACGTGGCAGTGAGGTGCACCGTTGAGGGTTTGGTAGATGAAAAAATGTGCATAACGTGGAAACTTGTGGACACACTGTAAGCAGCTATTAAATTTAAATGTACATTAGTAATGCATGGATCATCGTGGTATCACCCGCATCCGCAGGCAAGTATAAATCATCCACCTGAACGGATGATTTTCTATGAGAGACCTGAATTACTGTTATTTCTCACTGGAATATATGTGAGCACTATGATATGGTAACACTACATTACACTTGTGTGTTATTGTTGACAATTTCACTAAATCCACCCCCTCCTGTACTTTTCTGCCCTTCCTCTTACGCCTTTCTAAATTGTCCCTCTTTCTTTCATCAATTGCTGTTTAAGACAAAAAGACCCTAAAATTGGAGAGTTTAGCATGCTTATTTGTTCCTTATGAAAAATGAAGCTGAAAATATGCTCACAGATTAGAGGATGCAATTTATACTTTTCTCATTTACAGTTAATAATTTTCACCCACCTGCAATAAACTGCTATTAGTTAGGATACTAATTTTATTATGACTTGGCCTGTCTGCCACATTCCACCCAAGATTAATGTGCATACAGGTATTGTGGGTACAAGTGTTGCATGGTGTACATCAGTAGAAAAGTAACACAATTTCCTGCCATTAAAATGTTTCGATTCCCTATTTTATTAGGATCAGTACTTAAAGAATGGCAGTTTTTAATAAAAACGTTATTTCCTGCAATTAGCATAGATGTGCAACGACATTGCAGGCTGTGTGTGTGTGTGTGTGTGTGTGTGTGTGTGTGTGTGTGTAGTTCTCTGCTTCCATTCCTTGCAGGCATAGTGGGCATGCCAACTGCTTTTTTCTTCTCTCATAAGCAAACTGCAGCTTTTTCACCATCGGAGGCAATTAATAGCAGTGTCTAATTTGGCTTCATTCTTTTACCCAACTTACCAAAGTAGCAAACTTTTCTACACACAAACGGATCGTTCACACTGGTAACGTTAGCTCACATTAACTTCCAAGTATACAGCTTGGCAACAGCAGTTATAATGATCGGCTAAATTCAAAGAGAAAGAATGAATATTGGTGGTTAAAATGTACACTCAAGTACTGCTGCACTTATTTCTGCAAGGATTGAATCTTTTTAGAGCAGCAGTGTGTCGTGTGAAGGTGAAGAGATGTGAATGGGTAAAAAGAGCTGATCTGAATGAAGAGTTGTTTTTTTTAAAGTTTTGGTTGGATTTTGAAACATATGAACACAGTGGTGCAATAATCCACTCTTGTTGTTTTATGGCTTCGTTTTACATCCTTAGACTTAGACTGAGGAAACATGTACATTTTTCAAGATCCTTTTTTCAGCATTTTCTTGCCTTTCTTTAAGAAAAAAGATGAGGAGTGAGAAGAAAAGTGGGCGAGAGGAGAGAGAGAGAGAGGAAATGACATGCAGTAAATCGAGCCTATGGATTGGAATCAGTCCTGCTAAAATCTGATCAAAGCAGAACCCACGGATTAGGTTGGATTTTTGTGACTGTTTCACTGTGCAGAAAAATATTTTGTCTTCAAGTTATCATGTCACTGAATGAACTCCAATGTTTACATAGATGTCAAGTCCTGAAGGCAATGAGAGTTACAATAAACTAATGAGTACCGCGCGATACAGCAGAAAACTCCAGAATAAGAAAGTACACCTCAACCTGCTTTTCCCCACGTCAAGGAAAAGTATTTTAACAAAGCAAGAATGAATTCTGAGATGGGTATGCAACATCAAGACTGTCAGCTTTAATTCAAAGCTATCTGTTGTTGTTTGGGGAAACCCTGTTGGTCCCATTTGCGTTCATGCCCTAACGCTCCTGCAGCAGTGTGTGTGTTATTCACCCTGAGAAATGAGTCCAGCGCTCCATTTTCCATGAACTCTGTGATGATCATTGTTGGTCTGCTCTTGGTGACCACGCCCTCCAGTCTGATGATGTTCGGTTGGTCAAACTGGCCCATGATTGACGCCTCAGACAGAAAGTCCCTCCTCTGCCTCTCAGAGTAGCCCACCTTCAGGGTCTTGATGGCCACAGGGATTTCCTTTTTCCCGACAGGTTTCAGGCGACCTTTGTACACTTCTCCAAACTCACCTGGGAAAGAAGAAAACACTAAGTGGGTAAAATTAAAGCAGTCTGTCTAAGGCAAAAAATACGACACACGTAGGACTCTTCAGAATGTGACTCAGCAGGGAAAACAGCAAGTGCACTGTTGTAAATAGTTGTTTTTAATGCTTCTTTATTCACAGCGCTTAAATAAATTAGAACAGCAAAAGGGGCTAATAAATTATCGCAATTATGATGTAAAATGTGTCAGCTGAGAAATCAGATGCCATTTGGTTACCTTTCATTACTAAAACATGAATGAACATGAACAAGAACGAGCACATTGGTCTTTGCAGCAGCTGAGCTGTGGAGCAGTGTGAGGGGCAGGGCATGTTAACACACAAACACTGTGCTGGGAGCTCTCGTCTCATACTGATGGCCTCTGAGCAGCTCCGCCGGAGCAGATTGAGGTCGAGGGCTTTGCTCAAGGGCACATTTTTTTGCAGACTGAAAGAACAACAAAAATTGGATCCCCTCAATAACTGCTCTCAGGGGTGACGAAAGGTTGTGTAGCAGGGGTGGAAAACAAGATAAAAGGGACAGAGCCATTATTATTGCTTAGATACTTGGCTTTGCACGTCACACCTCAAATGTAATCTCTTGGTTAAATAAAAGCAGCTTGGTGACCTCATGGATAAAGAGCCTGCACTGCTACAAGTTCACAGGTTCAATACCTGGCTGCAGTTTGATTTGTCTTGTAGACTAAAGGACTTTCTTGTGCTCTATACCATCACTTTATTAAGCTGAGGTTTCTGTGTCACATAGCATACTAGTATTTTCTTTACATGCTACCTTACCAGAAAAAAGTGGTCAAAGCATATGTAGCAGGTCAAGGCTTTTTCTTTCCTCTTTTATTCATGTACAAAAAGCGAACCAGCCATCATTTTTGCAGACCATTTCATACAGGAGAACACCTTTCTCCTTCTTTCACTTAAGTGCTAAAGTTTTCTAATCTTCAAGCTAACTCTGATGACCAACATCATATTAAAAGCTCCTTAAGAGTCTCAGAGGACCCTAAACAGAGGTACTGAGATCACAACTGGCTTGCAAGAAATCAAGGATGTTTATAGTTGTTTCCAACGGCCACACTGGAAGATGGAATGAAAAGAAAGTCATCACAAAGATAGATGAGAGGCAATATCATTTAAATAGGATGATAGCACACATTTCAGGCAATCTTTCCTGGAACAGTCCAGGTGATTTGTGCCAGATTTGAGGTGATATATGAAAATGACACTTTTTCATAACAGCATCACAGTTGCCACACTTGTTCGGTTGACGGCTCCTAAAAACGTAGTTGCTCAAAAGTGCAGAGCCCCGAGGAGGACAGAGTTGGAGACGAGCTCTTGAGCTGGCACTATATCTGCCATCTTCAACAGGCTGCGGTTAGATATACTCGAGTAATTGGAGACCACTGTGGTCAACACTTTCACAGGTAAGTCCCCCATCCTTGAACTCTCAAGTTGTGGCTGCGAGAAAGGCTTCAAATGCAAACAAAGCCACAGCTTTAAAGTGCACATCTGTGTGTCAGTCTGAATGTGACACTGAAGAATTGGTTCAACAACAACAACAAAATAACCATGTTGTGTCTCTGAAATAGATATATATTTGAATGTTTTTGCGATAGCTCCAATTCTGACAATGTTCAAGGTCCCAAACTGCAGAAGTGGACCAAGTTTTATCTTTTAAAGAAAAAGTGAACATCATTTTCACATATCACCTCGACAAGACGGCAATTATTGTGTTGCACGATATTGCTTATATGAAAATCCTGAACAGGATTAGGAATATGAGAATAACTAGTACAGGAATAGGAGTGATTCCATGGTAGACGTCTGTAATGCTAAAGATTCATTTCAATTCATTTTTTATTTATATAGCGCCAATTCACAACATAGGTCATCTCATAGCACTTCACATAAATAAGGTAAAGACCTTACGAAGTTTAAACAGAACACAGAACCCAACAATCCAAAGTTGCCTTTGGATTCCCTATGAGCAAGCCGTCGGCAACATTGGGAGGGAACCAAGTCCCTATCACAGCAACCTGTCAGTGAGGATAGAGGCATTGCAATGTGTGTCCAAGGCACCATGGATATTTAAATAACCATAAACTTGTCTTTGGGCGTTGTTGTGATTTTATCTTAGCTCAAGTTAGTCGTACCATGTTGTTCAGCATTCCGTTGTACTAAAAGACACTCTGAGGAGTCAGTGGTTAATGGTTTACTGTTTCGAAGCCTTGAGATTAGAAATTGGCTGTCAACATTTTGATCTTTTAAAATTGGACATAAAGAGCATGGGGTGGATCTGAGAACTGTAATAAAACTATGCATTGTGATATGGTAGTAATTACAAGGTAGCCAGCAAAACCCTGTAACAGTCCCTGCTTTATCATCAGATTTACTCTTAATAGGACCATCATTTAAGCTGCTGTAATAACGCTGTATAGAAGGAGACTTGAAAGCAGCTCTTGCAACCAAAAACTTATTTAGAAAATGTTTACTGAGGTAACAAAACACGTGAGAATTACACTAATTTCCTTTAGACTTCTATACAATTGGACTTCTTTTAGAACCAGAGGAATTTCCCCCTGCTGGCTGTTTGAAAGAATGCAGGTTCAAGGTACTTCGTTGTTACGTTTCACACCCAGAGGGTACATCCGTCTTTTATATACCGTCTATGATCCTAATTAAAATCCCAAAATGTGTTCACCATAGATGGTTCTCAGAAGTTCCTAGTCAGGTTCACCCCTCACTCCACTTTATCTGTCAAAAAAACAAGATGGCTGCCAAAATGCCAAACTCAAGCTTCAAACCAGCGGTTGATGTCAAAGTGGTTATGTTCTCTTCTTTTATACAACCTATGACGGCCGTGCTGATCACCTCAGTTACAATATCAAAAAATATGAGCAGGTTACAACTTCAGTGAACTTGTTCAATGAGCAGAAAATTTCCTTTCAGTGGAAATGCAGATGTATTTTGTCAGGATAAATGCAGCAGTACACTGCTTGGGGACATGAAAATTGAATATCACTTCAAAATAAAAGTCCTCATCCCAGAGATAAAAATCGGTGTGTGAATAATGGATGAGTGATGGGAATTGGATGACAGGCTGTGTCGTCCTGTCTCACTGTGATCTCTGCTCCACATCTCACTGCTCATTAAAAACTATCTACTGTCACCGTTGTAAACCAGCAGAAGCAGAGATGGATGGAGAGCAAAATAGGAAGGAGAATGGAAAGAGGATGGGAACGGAAGAAGAGATGAGGGGGATGGAGAAAGATTGAAGGATGGAAATGAGACCGGATTGATAATAAGGGAGGAGAGGACAGGAAGGATGGAAGGACAAACGGAGAGGGACAAAAACAGTAATTTTCTCCAAGAGAGGCAAAATCAGATGACATGTCACTTCTTTCTTGAAAATCGTTGAGGTCAAGGAGAGAACGGAGCATGAAAAGAAAGATTCATGGGTTTTGTTGTAAAAATCTTGTCTGAGTCCTACAGCACATCTAAATATATGTTGGTAAATGACTGTCAGATGAGGCATTAGTCCTCCTTCCTATTATAAATTAAAATGTTTGACGACTTGTCTTCAGTCAATCACAGTTCTATGAGTGAAGGACATTTCTTACAGTGTGAGTGATAGTAATAAAAAAAGAGGAAAAGAGAGGGTGTTATCACACAGGGAGAGAATGAGGGAGTAAGGTGAGATATTTTTATTATCTCCTTAGGGTGCTTTCTTCTTTTATCTTCCCTCCTCAATCTGTTGTTCTTCTTGGTTCTTTGTTTAGCATTTCTCTATACAAAAACAAACCCTAAAACTCCAGAGGGGCTGAACCACAGAGAGAGAGCTGAAGATATGAGGAGGCATGAAGGAAGGAAACACAGAGGAAGAAAAAAAGACAAGAGCGAAATAACTGTGGATACATTTTTACTTTCACTTAGATTGGGAGACGTGGAGCCATTCGAGGGCTCAAAGTCCAACCATGTCTCATATCACCTCGGCTCATATTTTCGCCTCCCTCCTCGTCGTTTTTATCCCTCCTCTGTCACCTCTGGCTGAGGTGAGAAACCCTTCCCTCGGAGAAATAAAGCGAGAAACGGAGGGATTACCGAGAGCCTCTCAGAGTGGCTCAACAGACCAAAGCCCAAAGCACATACTCGCAGCGGTGAGGGTCTCAATCTGGTTCACGACCTTTAACACCAGGAGATCAATAGCCATTTGGATTTGATTGGCTGTGGTCCAAAGAAAAATAAGTTAACAGGGGTTTAACGGCAGAAGCAAAAACATTCCTTCACTGAATTTGGGTTTGAGGTAAGAGACAAATAGTTTTAAATAATATTAAAATACTAGAATTTGCACAAGATCACTATGAATAAAAGGAAGCAAAGCCTAATAAATGTGGTAACAATCCCTTAGACTGGTTTCTCTGAAGTACTTTGGTTTTACAGGGATGGAAAACAAGCCAAAAACAGACTTTTACATTTTATCTTATCAACTAATGATTGATTTCCCCCGAAAATATGTCATAATATGTACTTATGATGTAAATAGATGGATAAAATGTCTTCTATGGTTCCTATCAAGCACAGTTCACACACACCCAGAAAGCAACCAGTACTTGAAGTTAAGTTTTAATTTGTATTGATTAATTTGTGGTAACTGATTGATTAACCTTCTGGGGTCTATATCCGGTTATGAACGATGAGAAAAACACTTGCATAATACTTCAGTGCCTAAACCTCAGGCTTTGAAGAAACATCAATTTAAATGGCATTTTAATTGTTACCTATTTATAATATCAAGAGGCACCTTAAAAGCACACATTGTCAAATTAGTTTAAAAGATGTGAGAAAAAGATGATAGTTTTATGTAGCGAGAGATCTGAAGCACTAGAAAAATGAAAGAGTGGCCAAGACCTGAGAGGATTCAACATAAATTTAATTAGAAGTATGTGCCATAAGAGAACAATATAAACTTCAATCCTAATTAGAGTTTGACAAAAGAGCCTTCTATTCTCCAGGGCCACGAGAAAAGTTTCAACAGCAGAATCCCCTTTAATTCATACTGTACTCCCTGACAAGATTAGTAATTACAAAGGAGTCTGTGATTCTGGAGAAAGATTGCTGCTATTTAGCTCATTAGCATATTTACATCGATGCCTTTTTCACTTGTCCTGTGCACGAGCAGGAACACGCACAGGCTTAAACGTACACGGTAGGGATTGAAGAGTTACTCGAAATATTATTAAAATCGAGAGCAGCGACTTTCTGATGAAGGTAAAATGTGTCACGATACACCATTATAAAAGATGCCAGATGTTAGTTTGGTACCGACCACAGAAAAAAAAATCACATCATTAACTTTGTATCATCATCCCCACTGAGATCAAGACTCATCGCATTTGCAATATCTGTCAAAATACTCTTGTTTTTGACTATTGCTTGGCGCTAGTCACACTGGAATAGTGCTGCGTGAACCAGACTCAGATGAGGCACTTTGTTGCTTCCTTTCTTGCTATTATTGTTATTATTTTTGTAATAGCATAGCATAACTTGTTAGGAATAACACAATCAAATATTAAACCTATACAGCAATAGTAGACGTGTCAAAAACTTACTCTGTGTTTTCATCTGGGCAAGAATCATGAAGTTAATATGAAAAAATAAAAGGTGCTGTAGAGCTCAGTGCCAATGTAAGTCGCTTCATCTTAAAGTTCTTCCTTATTTTTTGTTCCCATCTTTCCTTTTGCCATCCCACAGCTAAAAAGCAGAAACTCTACACCCCCCCCAAAAAAAAAAATTTCTGAGCAAGCCTAGGGACCAACTTTCTCCGTTTGCCAAACATCACACAGCATTTTTACAGTGAGAGTGCAGATCGCCAAAGAGAATGCATGAAGACAGTTTTAATTTATTCCTGTGAAATTTTTCAGCATGAATAAAACATCTCTCCTGACTTCAAAGGGAAAAAATAAAGCAAAATAATAAATTGACATTGCGTGTTTCCAGATCTTTTCACATTGACACAAAAGTCTGCCGCAGCTGAAGAAATTGATTAATTTACCGTAGAGTATCTGCTGTTTCAAGTGACAGTTGGTCTCATTAAATAAACCAAGGTTTACTTTTCTCGCTTCCCTTCTGAGGCAGTTTATAGTACACATGAAATAGTACTGCGAGGCGCTCCTTGAAATAGAATGAATGCAGTAATATTTAACACATGTTAAAATAATCATGGGTTTTCATTTTCAGCATTTGATGAGATTTTCTTTTTAACCTCTTATTGAAACAACATGAGAGAGAAGAAAGCCAAGCCAAAGTCAACTATGAAAATCTCCTCCTACCTGACCCAATGACTTCCTCTATTTTGACACAGGAGGGGTCGATCTCTTTGGCAAACTCGCGAACAGCCTCATTGGGGTCCTCGTAAGTGAAGGGGTCGATGTAGATCTTGACCCCAGGTGAACTGTGACCCTCAGACAGGGTGGGAAAGGTCACAGTGGGGGTGGGACCACTGAACATGTCTGGCCTCAGAGTCACCTCTGAGGAGAACATGAGAAAGTTCAGTTACAAACACCGTGCATGGTGGACATTAGCCTCTATTTATCTTCACAACAAAGAATTCGAAGCGTGGTCGTACCTCCTCCTGTGTTGTACTGCTGCAGCTTGTCACCGTACACACTCTCCTTCAGCTGCCTCCTTCTGCAGACACAAACACAAGACGAGACGTCGGAAAGAAAAGCAGAAGGTAGACAGAGATTTTGCACAAAAGTTTGAAATGTTGCGAGAGTGAAATTCTAATTGGTTGTCTTCTCTTGAGCTGGGTTGAGGTAAAATAAACAGTCTTCCTGAATGTCAAAAAAAAAAAAGTCTGCTTGAGAAGATGTTTTTTTAGGATTTCATTAGTACTGTGTGACTGTTACTGTTCTGTGTCGTCAGCTCTTGTTTCCTGCTTTCATCTGGGGATGGAGCCAGAGGAATGTAATACTGTAATATGTCAGGTGATCTTCACAACAGACACCTTACACTGCACGCTGGAGAGACAGCTCGCCGCTGGCTATTTCTGGGAGGTCATGGGGTCACAGAAACTTTGGACATTTCACATCTACTTTGAAATGCTTGTAGGATTAAAGGGGATCATTTATTACGGTTGCCACATTCGTGCAAATGCTTAGCCATTATTAGTCTACAACCTATTTGTCATTTCTAGTAGTTCCAAAGTCTTTCATGCATAAATTACAGTACAGTCCCTTGTGAAGCAAGTTTAGACACACTCTGTTGTACTTCATGTGCACACACACAATATTAACATCAATTAAAGTTCCTTATTTTTTGTTCAAAGATTTATTGTCTATTTATTGTTATTTACATAATATTCTAATTTTATAGGTAGCAAACACATTTAAAATGACGTTGATGGTTATTTTATATCCCCATGCATCAAAAGTTGTAGTTTCCTAGATGAAGGACAATTTCAGAAGCCGTGATTCCATATATTTATCAAGTTAACTTATACAAAGCTTTTTGAAATGTCACAAAAAGAAAAAAAAAAATAAAGAAAATTTGAATTGGGCAAATATACTGTACTAGGCTGTTGCTAAAACACCTGGAATAAGACAAAGAAAGAAAGAAAATTTTGGCCATCTAGTCAACAAAAATGGAGAGAAGCTCCCAGACGGATTTGCTGGATCTGAGTTGGATGATCGGGAACAACTTAAAGACAACCAAAAGTCAGGACGCAAATGGTGTTAGAGAACATTTGAAAAGAAAAAGGAAACGCCACGAACTCTAAGCATCTCAAAGATCACATCTGGATCGGTACATTTAAGGTGAGAGATTTTAGTTGTTAAGTTTGGATAAACAACACATCCTCAAAATGTTCATATCCTGAAATGTTATGGCTATTATCTGAGAAATGTGTGTTAAAGTAAACCTCCACCAACAATGTTCACAAATCTAATGTTTGCTTGTTTAGATAAGAATGTGAGTTAAGTGTTGTCCATAATGTTAGTAGGCTACCATTCATTCTGTGAAAATATATTCTGTATGTGTTAGCGGTTCTTTTTCAATGAAGGAGGTTCTGCTGAAATACATTAAGCATTACAAATTTCACAATTAAATACGTATTTGTGACATCTTCAGTGAGTGCAGCTCGGAAAATGCCTTCAGTAAAGACATGTTGCCTTGTGTAGTTATAGTAGAGACAGAGAGGAAATGTGAGGAAAGACAGCAGGGGATGACGCGCAGCAAAGGTCCAGCCAGTGAGGAGTCGAACCAGAGACTCAGCTGCTGAGAACTTTCCTGCCCACGTGGTATGTTTCTTAAGCACCAAACCATCAGGTCAGTGCCTGGAAGTTGACCTCAAAACATTAGTTTGGAAGAAAATAGTCCACAAACTAGTTGGATCTCAGTCTTCCTCTGGAGAAGGAGCTGCTCATTTATCATTACATAGCTGGTGATTATATGTGTATGATGGGTGTCAACACTACTGGTGTCTATGAAGGTTCATACTTCGTTAGTACGATAGCTAATACTGTCAGGTGTAACTGAAAACTCCAAAAAAGCAAGTAAATGAATCATATGAAATGTTTTGCCTCAACACATGGTTAAGCTACAGTGACTGTTTTCATCCTGACTGCTTGAATGATTTTTGATTGGACATCCCAAAGTATGCAAGTTATTCAATAGGGCACATGTCTTCCATCACAACAAATTAGGACACTTTAGTGACACATGTATGCAACTGCAGTATCTGAGGTGTTTGTGTGTCTGCTTCAAATTACCTGGTACAGATGATGGCAATAGCCACCAATGAGACGATACACACTCCACCTACTAAAGATCCTGCGATCAGGGAGAGCTGCTGTCCAAGCTCTGACTTATACTCATCTGCAGAAGTAAACACACACACCATCCAACACACGAGTTGAGAAAAAGGATATAATATTTCAAATTTCTCTTATTTTTGAGACTCTCACATACACACAACTGAAAATTTCTGGAAGGAAAAATATACAAGTGACAATTTCTTTCTCTCTCTCTAACACACATAAAATATCATTTACAAGGCTCATTTTACATGACTGCAAGCGCTCACGCTCTCTCTCACACACACACACACATGCACAAAGTAGGGCAGAATTTAATTACTTTACAGCCAGATTTTCACTCTTGTGCAACCTCTCACATTGCCTCTCTCAGCCCTGCACTCTCTTTCCTCTCCACCATAAAGCCCCCTCCCACACACACACACACACACACACACAAATACACACACACACACACCTCTACACACTCCAGCCAACCACCCACCTACTTACCGTCAGTGAGAGTTTGGAAGAGCATCTCCTTGCTGTAGGCTCCATAGCCGGCCACAGTGCGGGCCCTCACCTGGACCACATAGCCGGTCCCAGGCCTCAGACCCTCCAGAACCACATTAGGCGTCTCGCTCTGGATCATCGAACTGTTCAGCACTGATGACTGGGCCTGAGGAGGAAGTGCAGAGACACAGATAGATATATTTCAGGGGCATCCAAGAAAGACTATATGAATACTTTCTCAGTCACAGACTAAAAGAGAGAGAATAAATTCAGCACCGGGTTCTGGCCTTCAGCTGAAACAAGATTAATCCTGAGCTCCAACACAAACCGAGGAATTCATCATTTTCAGACTGTGAAACCGTGGACACCCTGACAGGAGTGAGCAACTGTAACAATGTGAGTCTGAATTCAGTCTGATGTCTTTATCTTATAGTGTTTGTTTAACTTTAATTCGACCAGATAAATCCCAGTGAGGTTAGCAACCTCTTTCCTAAGACCTGGACACGACAGCAGCATCACGTGAATCAAACCAGGTGACAATGTATGAAGGTCCTATGAAGGTAGGAAAGACAAAAATGAACCTAATTCAAATAATAAAAGAAATGCATATTCTTACACTGGTAGTATGCATTAACAGCCATAACATTAAAATCATTAACAGGTGAAGGGAATAATAATCGTCTTTTTACGAAGTAATGTTCTTAAAAACGTAGAGTCCTGGAATCATTTGGATGCTATTTTGACACACACCACCCACCTTAACATTGTTGCACACAAAGCACATCACTCTGTAATACCACTCCCCAATGCCAGTGGCCTTCTCCAGCAGGACGGTGCACCCTGCGGCACTGCAAAAACGGCTCAAAAATGGCTGAAGGAACACGATGAAGCGCCCTAGGCATTGGCTGAGCCTCCAAATTCTCCAAATCCGATCTGACTGAGCATCTGGGGGATATGCCAGGACAAGCCTGCGGAGGCCACCCACCCACAGAACCTAAAAGATCCACAGCCAGCATCCTGGTGCCAGATATCACATGACACTGTAGAGGTATCGTGTTTACACCCCAATGGGTCAAAGCTGTTTTGGTGACAAAAGAGGAGGACACACATAATTTAAAGCGGGTGGTTTTAATGTTGTGGCTCATATGTGTATTGTCTCATAGTTTAGTCATAGTTTTTGTTTCATTTGTCCATACTGACATATCTGTGTTCACACCAATACAATGAAAGTGACTGAAATTTCATTTGGTGATAAATGCATAAGAAAATAACTTTTAAAAAAATCTATACATTTCCATAAATATTGTCGTGGTTACTCTGAGTAACCCACTAACTTCACTGTGAACAGTTTAATTAAGACTACTTTCTCTAAGTCCACAGAGATGAATCATGCTTTTTTTCAGGAGATGTTGTTGTGATATTTTAAATAATATTTTTTTGCAATATTTAGAACACCACCAGCACCTCTATATTTACCCTATTAGTACTGAGGTGGGACAAAAGTTCCAAGAAAGAGTCCATCCATGAATGTAGCACATAAAACCAAAACTATCCACATCGCAAGACATAGTCTGACTCACTGTATGTAGGATGCAGGTATAAACCACTGCTCATTTCACTCAGCATTCTCCTCCCTTCTGCTATCTGTGTGTTACAGTTTTCTTCACCATGAGCAACAACAACAACAACCTACCACACTGAACATTTCACATTTTGCCAATAATTTGGATTGCACACTAAGGCAGCCCTGCTGGTTTTTCCATTGCATCTGCAACCACAACACCATGATGTCACCGTGTACTGACACACCCTGGAGTACACTTACACGTCACCACAGCATGCTGAGAAGTGAGGGAAGAAGCAACCTGATCAGTCTCCTGTGTCTTAACTCTTAAATGTCATTCCTTTTTTTTTACTACAAAACACAAAAAGCTTGGATGAATTTTGTTTGTGTGTCCCTGTAGATGATAGAAGAGGTAATGCACTCTTATCACAAAGTAAAGAACTACTGTTGCTGTGGTTTTGGTATCTTAAAACGGTTTACGCCACTTGAATCAGGAGGCTTAATTTGATTCAGAATGGGCAGATGGCATTGAAAAGATTTTCACAATCTGTATTCGGTCCACTGAGCGTTAAATGAATGTAATTATTTTGAGCCTAGGAAACAGATCCAACACATTAGACACTGTGTAGTATCTTCTTAACTATTCCTTCCCCCACCAGCTTATTATACTAAACTGCAATGAGGACAAGGTCGTGGCTGCTGTTTTTTTTTTTATCTCTAAAAGACCAACTCCAGTTTACAATAAGAATATCTCAGACACAGAAACGCTACAGACTTCATGGCTGGACAGAATCTTCTCAAAACCTCAAAGGTCAAAACGACACTTCAGATGATACTTCAGACATTGTACCAATTATATACACATTTCAGTATTTTGCACCACAGTGGAATGTTAAGATGTCTGCAAATTGAATCTCTTTAGATGCTCCCATACAGATAGTTTTGATATAGTACAGTACAAAGCTTTGGAAATTTACATCTCAAGAACAGCAAATAGGCAGAGATACTACCATTTTTAGTCCTGATAATCCCCAGACCTTGGTAGGAGCAGTGTTATTTGGAACTACTTTCTGCTGACTAAATTGTTCCTAAGAAAATATACCATAATGTAATAGTAAGTTTTGCAGAGCTCCTGGGTCATTGCTTCTACAAATCATATTTTTCTGAGTTGATTTTATTGTTGTGGCATCAGACAAAAAGCAAAACTGTATTTTAGAACCTCCCCACATCAAACAAAATGTATTTGCATTTCAACACATCAGTGGGCTTAAGTAATAAAATTGTTTTTTTCTGTAATTTGTTTGAATTGACCCTTTAAAGCGTACAAAAAAAACCTTTGTTCACCCATTGTTATTATAACTTCTTATTTTTGAGCCTTCCATTTATACCTAATATTTCTCTCCACCACCTTAAGCCTCCCTCTTTGCCATTCCCTCCACTTATCCCTCCTCTCATCTATCTTCCAGTCATTCTTTTCGCTGACCACCAGCTCCTTCATAATTCTCCTCCCTCTCTGACCCGCTCATTCCCCGCAAATATAATACAGTAATAATGCAGTTAATCAGCTATTACCCACAGAGACAGGTGGGCATTTTGTCTTCTCGCCTTCCATTCATCTTCCTGAGGTGAATTGGGTATCAGGCCTATCTTATAAACCCAAGGCTACCACCTTTTACCTCTATCTATCTGTGGCCTCCTTTTTGGCTTCCTCTCTTCCGCCACTTTCCTTCAGATAAAAAAAAAAAAAAAAAGGTTTTACTGCGGCTAAATCGAAACGGTCCACAGAGAACGACAGATATGGTGTGGTGACGGCATGTGGGGGTGGGGGAGGCAAACCCTGCCGTGAGGATGAAGGGTGGAGGGGGGGGGGTCGACGGCAGAGCAAAGAGGAGAGGAAGAGAGATGATGGGGGGGACAGTTCAGGAGGGAAAAGAGTGGAAAGAAATTGAGGGGAGATGGGAGAAGCAGAGGGAGGGTTATCAGGAGAGGATGTCAACATGAATAAAAAGGGGTTACAGATGACTTGTGAAAAACGACGGTTAAAAACTCAAATACTCCCCTTCATTATTTTTAACTCTGTTCATTGTTGGTCTATTAATTGTTAACATTTCTTATTACATTTAGCCTACTATCCTCATTCTTACCTCGGTGTAATGTAATGCGCAGCCCCAATTTCTCTGAGTGTATTAGGGTTTGACATACAGAACTACGACCAAAGACGCACTCCGCTAATCCTACTTGAATAATTAGGACATGACGCATGGACAGCTGTAGAATTTGCAGTGTTGAAAGCCTGGAGAGAGTAAGTTATATTTGGAAGTGGCCTCAGAAATGGTATTGTGTCGGGGGGTGGGGTTTGGATTTGGAGGTATGGGTGTATGTGTGTTGGGGTGGTGGTGGTGGTGGCGGCTCTGTGCTTGCCAGAGTGAAGAGGTTAGGGGCCAGCCCATCTGGGAAGGCCTGCTAGCCAGAGATAAGTAGTGGGGAAAAATCCTGCCTTCCTGTGCCATATCAAATTTACTACATTAAAACCTCATTATCTATAGAGTGGGAGGGAGGGTTGGGTAGAGGGAGGAATGGGGGTGTAGATGGAGGGAAGGAAGGTGGAGAAATTACAAAACTGCCAGAAAAAGAAGGTACAGTACAGCTGTCTGGTAAGAAAAACCTGTCCTCTCTCTCTGCAGGCTTATCAAACTGCTCCCCGAGGACAACTTCACTTGAAGCTCGGAGCTAAAACTAGTCTTTATGTGGTCGACTGCTCTACTGTGTGAAATACAGTATCTTAATTGGCTCCTGTGTTAAATAATATAAGAAAATAGCAGCAGGAAATAAGGCTGACTTACGGTAACGTCGCTGCCATGATTTTTACTAAGTAAGGGTTTTATCTGTGGCTGTCAGACGGCAGCTACGGTACATCTCTCGGTGAGTGCGCTGCCTCTCACTCCGTCCTTGACTCACTCTAATTGCTCTCCGAGAGGCAGAATCTCAACTTTCCCTTTCTTTGCCCGCTTTTCACCATCTTTCCCTGGAACTTCACTGTTAATAAAACTGTGAGAAGCAGGCATGCTGAGAGTTCTGCACATGGAGGAAGGGGCTGCTGCGCTTTTTTTTGTCATACTTTTTGTGTCGTGTAAAAGTTTAAGGCACTAAAAGTAAAGTGAGGATGCTTTCAGTTTTTGTTTTATTTTTGTTGTGAATGGGTTTTATTTATTAGTTTATCGCACACAACATGAAGTGAACGGGAAAAGCTATATTTTTAGTGCACCACTTCTCCTAGGTGCACAGTTTTTCAAAGCACTTGGCAGGCATGTTGTTTCAGCATATTGGAGAACTTGCCACAGTGTTCCTGTGGATTTTAAGCCGTCTCAGTGTCCTCTGTCCTCTTCATGTGATCTCAGAGTGACTCCATGATGTCGAGATCAGGGCTCTGTGGGGACCAAACCATCTGTTGCAGGACTGCTTGTTCTTCTTGTGGTCGAAGACAGTTTTTCATGACTGGAGCAGCACGTTTGGGGCCATTGGAATGCTGCAGAATGGATTTGGGATGCCTCCCTGATGGTTTTGCATGATGGATATATGGATCTAAATATCAGAAGTGGGTC